AAGAGGGCAAGGACCGCAGGAGGCGGGCCCAGACTCGGGGAATGAGGCACCCAGTGCCAAGGCCCAGCCCAGCGATGGCAGGGGCAGCGCAGGCGGAGGACTGCTGTTGGCGGAGGATATGCAGGGCAGAGCCGGGCAGGAGGGCAGGCGCGGGGCCAGGCAGGCGGACTGTGGGTTACAGAAGGTTTCTAGGGGCAAAGAGGACACGGGAGAAGAGCACCGGGGCAGAGGGGACAGGACAGCTGAGTTGCCCTCTTCACTCGCCGCTGGCCGGACGCCCGGAGGCACCGCACGCCCTCACCATGTCCGTGGGAAATGAAAGGTTCAGGACAGACTGAGCACATGGCTAAATCCACAGGCCCGCCCCGAGCCCGCACCCCTCTCCTCCCTCTCAGAGGGCGGTCATGGGGAGTGGGTTCTAGGGCAGCACTGGGAGCACAGGTTCAGGGTTCAGACCTGCCTCCTCACCTAACCACCTGGGATGGGGAGGCAGAGAGATGAGGCAGGAGCCATGGGGAGCGGCCGTAGAGGGGAGCAAAGGCTCCATTCACCCAACTCGGAGCAAGAGAGGGCGCCCCCCCCCCCCCACCATTCCTAATCCCATAGGCCAGTGGTCGGCAAACTTATCAGTCAACAGAGCCAAATAGCAACATGACAACGATTGACATTTCTTTTGAGAGCCACATTTTAAAAACTTAAACTTCTTCTAACGCCACTTCTTCCAAACAGACTCGCCCAGGCCGTGATAGTTTGTGGAAGAGCCACACTCAAGGGGCCAAAGAGCATCATGTGGCTCACGAGCCGTGGTTTGCCGACCACTGCCATAAGCTAATGCCACTTTGGTTTGGTTCGATTTTCTTAAATAAACTCGGCTTTTCTGAGATGTTTGCCTGGTTTATTATCGCTTTGCAGCCACACAGCGGGACTGGCCCAGGTTCTTCCAAGGGGGAGGCCTCCCAGGCCCCCCGCAGCTCCACAGAGGGCCCCGCCAAGGCAGGGGCTGCCCAGGGCACTGGGACAGCTGTGGCCAGCGGCACCCTCCTCACCTCCACCGTCTCCTCCAGGGACCGAGTGACCACAGCATGCCCAAGAGGAGGGTGCCGGGGCTGGGGGTGGGGTGCTGGAAAGAAGAGTAAGAAGATAAGAGTCTGGAAATCTGCGCTTGTTATTGGTCTCAAACTTCCTGAACAGCTGGTGAAGAGAAGCAGCTAAGAGCTCCAAAAGGGAAGCCATGACCGCCAGAACCGCCATGCAGGGACCAGTCCCGCAGGCCGCTGCCCGCCTTGATTGCTTGGAGGTGAGGGTCTCCGGCCAGGAGGTGGGGGAAGAAGAGAGCTCCTGATGCTGAGGAGGAGGGTTTCAACAAATCTGCCCATGAGACTGCGTCACAGGGACCCAGAGACAACCTCAGGCCCCGTCAGACCCCGCGCTGCCTAGCAAGTGGGGTGCAGGCTGACAAAGGACTTGCCTTAGCCTCAGTGAAGAGCTGGGCCCGGCCAGAGGGGGAAGGAGGAATTAGCCCAGCCCAGGCAAAGCATGCAACCTCAGGCCCTGGCGTGAGCACATGAGCTGCTTCAGAGGACTCGCAGAGGGGCTGGGCCTGTGGGCCTCGTCTCGGAGCCTCCTGGGGGAGGGGCTGCTCGGGGCGTGAGTGCCAGACCCCTCGGGGGCACGTGGCTTCTGTGCGCCCTCCCCTGGGACAGGCCCTACAGCCTCCTCCCCCCTCTTCCCCACCCCAAGGCCTTACCCTGAAGTGGGATCTACCTGAACTCACACCCTTGGCTTGGCTCCTGTCCCTCCCCTACGTTGTGCTCCCCCCCCCCCCCCCCCCCGCCCTCCTTCCTTAATAAACCCAGTGGTGAGTGGTATGGTCCCAGCATGGGGCTGGGAACTAGTTCCGGAGAGCAATGGTCAGAGCAGAGGGCAGAGGACTTGGCAGAGGCTCCGAATGAGGGATGGCCAAGGAGACAGGCAAGAGTGAGCCCCTCCCTGTGGCTGGAGAAGCGGACCCCAATGCCCCCAGCACACTTTTCGGGGGTTAGACCGTTTAATCCTCACAGCCAGCCTAAGGAGGCGGCCCCATTACCACACCCACTGACAGGAGAGGGCGTGAGGATCAGCCAAGTTAGTAAGTAACTTGCCCAAGAGCTCATGGTTGTCTAACTCAGGTTTCACACCACTGAGCGCCCCACCTCCCCGCCCTCAGTGCCAGGACCTGTGCTGGGAAGGCATGTCTGATGGCCATGGACTAAGAATCCAGCACTTCCAAGGGGCAGACTCAAGGACACGGAAAGTAATGTCACTATGGAACCGGGCCATTCTGGCTTTTCCACCTCCCGGCTCTGTGCCCTCAGGCCAGCAGTATCCACACTACGGTCCGAATAGCTCTGCGCACCCCACACCCCCTCCCCATAGTGTCCCCCAAGGTGGACTAGTGACTCCCTGCAAGGGGGACAGCAGCCTGGAGCTTGGACAAGAGATGCCGCCCTGAGGGGGGTTCTCGTCCAGGCTGAAGCTCCAGGAACCTGGATGGAGGCTCCACAGGACAGAATCTACAAGCGAAAAAGACTATTCTTCAACAATCCTTCCCAGGCAAAGCTCCAACCTCCAATACTTTATTTCAAATTCAAAATAAATGCACAAATAATGAGATCCACCACCTCCCAGAGCAGAAAGTCTGATCAGAAGCCTGGGTCTGAGCGGAGACCTGCAAACCAAACTGGCGGCCAGTCCTGAAGCCTGAGCACTGCAGTCAGGCTGCCCAGGAAGGACAGGCGGGAGGCGGGGTGGTCTGTCTCATCCAGCTGCGGTCCATCCAGCGGCGGGGCTGAGCAGCCTGGCTGGTGAGGCCCAGGCCCATCCTGCAGCTCAGGCAGCGAGCTCGCCAGGGCCATGTTCCAGGGCGCCACCTGCAAGGACGCACCTTAGTCAAGATGAGGTGGGTGGGCGGTTTCACTGTCCTTCCCACGTGGGACCAGGCCCAGCCCTCCATCCCAGCCTGCCAGGTGCAGCCTGGAGGTGGCACAGATTGGCACACAGCAGCCAAGCAGCGTGACCACAGGCACCTCCCAGGCCCGCCGAGGCTGCTCTTTGCCAGGCACACCCCTCTGCCCACGTGTCCAGACCAGCTGTGTCCTGAAGACCCTGCTCAGCTGTGGCCTGTGGGAAGGTGCCCTCCCCAATCCCGTTCCTCACCATCCCCCTCAGGTGCCCACAGCCATCTGCTCTCTCCAGTCTGCTCCCCCTTCCTCCCCCCCGCTCGGATGCCTGGGCTCCGGGAGGCCTGGGCAGAGCTGGGCGTGAAGACGGCCAGACCCATGTGTCACTCCAGGACGTGAAGCGCCCTCCCACACCACACACAGGACAGTCCCAGCTGCAGGGACAGAGCCCAGGCCTCAGGACTACAGGAAAACCTGCTTGGCCCATTTTAAAAGGGGGCAAGGCAACCCTCTGCCCCGCCTCGCTGGCATTTAAGCAGGGGTGGCATGGTTCTACCAGCCCAGCTGCTAGGAGTGAGAATGGCATGGCTCTGGGGAAAGCCCAGTGAGCAGCCTTGGGAGGCATTCTGGCCAGAAGCACGCCTTTCCCACCTCGCTCCCCGGCTGGTAGCATGTCACTCCTGCATCCAAAGGATCGTTTCCATGGCTGGGAGTCCCTGGAGCAGGGGGAGCCTCTGTCAGGGCCTGGTCCCCAGGTGCGGACGGCCCAGGAGAGGGCCACATCATGGGCAGGGCTGCATGTGGGCCCTGACTCCGCCCTCCCGTGCCCGTGACCCTCGGCAGACACTGACCTGGCTCCTCAGAGGTGGGCTGGCAGGTTCTGTCCCGGGAGCTTGGATTTTCAACTCTAAGCCCCAGGACGAGCACACAGCCCGTTCCATCCTCCGTGGACCTGGAGAGATCCTTGGGCAGTCAAGTCATGCTGTGTCAAGCCCTGGTGTCCTGGAACCACCCACCCTCCCACGATCCCCTGGCCCCCAGGAGCCCTGGCCCTTGTCAGGTCATAGGCAGATAGGCCCACAGCCTCACAGCCCCTGCCATTTCCCACCAGCGGGAGACCCCTTCTCTACCCACCATCCCTGCCCTCCCTTCGTTGAATAACTGCACCAGCTGAAAATAAATCCTTAAACCAAAGGAATGAGGTAATAATGTGCAAGTTGGGGACTGTGACATATTTGGGGACAGGGGCCACCGGTTTCCCATCCCTGAGGCCACCCCAGACACAGTGACAGACGAGCCACGCTTAGACACACCTGCGGCCTTTCTTACAGCTCAGCTCCCTGGTACCGGTGGCCCCTTCATGTGTGAGCGCAGCAAGCACGTGCAGCCCGTCTTGTTTCCCAAGGAACCCAGACCTGGCACAGAGCAGGCCTCGCTCGTAGCCGCCTCGCTGGCTGGCTGGCTGGCTGGGGAGCTGCAGAAGACCCAGGCCTCAGCCAGCCCTGCTTTGAACCTCAGTCTCCATTCTGACGTCTGACCCGGGACATCAGCCACGGCCCGGCCACACGTCTGCGCTTTGGTTCGTGCGTGAAGACTCAGCAAGGCCAGTGCCGAGTGGTGTGGCACACAGGAGGCCTTTGGCAGCGTCAGGTCCCGTCTCTAAAGACCCAGTGACCAGCCACCTGGGCCCGTTTCATGTCAAGGATTCCTCGTCTCAGCTCTGCTTTGGGGGAAAGCCACCACGACGCTAGGGGAAACCACAGCAGAGTCCCGAAGAGACTGGACAGGAGGAGAGAATTTTTACAGAAAAGTCAGGACCTCCCTCGTACCCGGCGCTGAAACTGCGCCAAGTTCAGGCCCCGAGTGCAGATGTGGCCCTTAAAACCAGCCCAGCTGCAAGCAGCAAGTCCCCAGGCTGAAGTCCCACGTCTGCTGGCAGCTGACAGCACGATGTGTCCACAGCTGCCAGTGGGTCCAGAAGGCCTGGGGCCCCCACTGTCCCTGGGGGTGGGGGGCGGGCGCTGAGTCCAGGGGCGGGGCAGCCCTTGGGGACACAGCTCCTCACTCTGGGGCTGCGCTGGGGCAGCCGCAGCAGCTGGGGCGCCTCAGCGACTGCATGACAGCCCGCAGGGGTCCCCTCCGGCTCTCGGCGGACAGGCTGTCCTCGCTGGCAGGTGCCAGCTGCAGCTGCTCAAACTGCATCTCCAGGTGCTTCTGAATGGCCACGCCAAGCACCTCAGGGTCCAGTGCAGCCCCGTACACCTCCCACGTCATGCCTTCCGCATCCCACCGCACATCCCGCACAGGGGACGGCGCCTCCTCCAGCCCGGAGCCCAGAGCTACCTCTGGGAATGGGGGCAGGGCTAGCGGGACTCCCAGGGGCGGGCTGGTGGCCACGGCCTTGCACACTGCCACGGGGGCCGCCTGCACGCCCGCATCCTGGGCTGACGGAGGGGACACCAGCACTGGGGCCAGGTCACTAGCTGAGGTCATGGTCCACACGTCCTTGGTCCTCACGCCAGGCTCCACAGCTGAGCCGGTGGGACCCCAGGGATGAGCACAGCAGTGGGCAGGCCCAGGATGCCCCCCGGGTAACCCACACGGGGCCTTCAGCCCACGCTGAGCCTGCAGCCCAGACTCACTCACTGACGCTACCAGTTTGGGAAAGGCCAGGACCCCCGGGGCAGGCAGAGCGTGGCAGGAGCCTCGGGTACCCTCCTCCCTCATGTCACAGGGCAGAGCTGCTGGGGGCAGAGCACGGCAGGTGGCGGCTGACTGCCCGGTGGCTTTGGGCTTGGCCTTGGGGCTGCTGCCGTGGGTGGGTGTGCCTCCTGGGTCTCCTGGTGACGCCCACACCTGACTCTCTCCCAGGGTCCAGGCCGAGCTCAGCGCCCCGTCCTCCGGAGCCAGGTCCCCTTCCGGGCCGGCAGGGGCCTGGCCTCCCTGGCCAGAGGCGCCGCCGGGCTGCCCCCGCGCCCTGTGGGCCGGCGAGCTGCCGAGGGCGGAGCAGCTGAGGCTGGCCCTCCGAGCCCCGCTGTGGCCCCGGGGCTGGGGGCGGGCCAGGTCCGAGTGGCTCCTCTGCACAGCGGCCGCGCTGGGGACCCGCAGGCGACACAGGTCACCGCCGTCCACAGCGGACACGTTGCCCACCGTGCTGCTCCGCCAGTGGCCCATGACACCGGGCTGTGGGCCGGGGCTGGGGCCCTGCGCCTGCTCCGTGCCCTCTGCGGGGTGCCCCTCCTCCTGGGCCCCGGGGCGGGCGCTGGCGCCCCGCTGGGCGTGCCACACGGTGCTGCTGGCACTCTTCCGGAGCTCGGGCCTCTGGCCCCCGCCGTCACCCAGCAGGCTGGAGGAGCTCTGGGACAGGGATCTTGGCGGGGGGCTCCGTGCCGGGGCCCCGGGGTCAGGGCGGCTGGTGCTCATGGCTGCCTGCGGAGAGAGAAGGAGCTGATGAGGGCCGGGCCCTGCCGCTGGGTCTCACCCGCCTCAGGCATCAGACAAGCAGGGCAGCGGCAGGACCCCAGGCCCTGGAAGCCCAGAGCATCACACATTGTCCAGGAACCGCACTACCCACAGCAAGCAGCCAGAAACACGCCAGGCCAGGACGGGCGCTGCTGCGGATCACGCGGGGGAGCCGGGGAAGAGCCACGTGCGCCCCGGGGCCTTTGGGCGGCGCTGAGACAACAGCTCTGTCACTCAGCATGGCGGCGTTTTCATAACCAGTAAAGCTCGACTGACAAGCACCAGCCTGTCCCTCCCGGGCCTGTCAGTACCCATCGGGCCCTGCACAGGGGACAGACTCCTTGGGACACAGCGGGGCCACAGGTGTGCGGATGGATAAGCAGAATGCACACAGCGAAAATGGCCGACCCCGTTCCCTCGGCCCAGCCTGGCTGAGCAGGCAGTCCCTGGAACTCAGTCTTCAGCTGTGAAAGGCAGCGTTTGCTGACCCCCACCCTGGCTCCGGGGCAAGGAGAGGCCCCATGCCAGCCCTCACAGGCAGCACTCTCAGCTCTGTTCCCTCCTCAGCCAGCCCGAGCTTACTGCATTGCAGCTCTGACTCACTTAGACCAGCTGTGCCCTGGGAATGGGTCCCAGACCAGCCATCAGACACGCCCGCCATCCAGTGCACACTCCTTCTTGCAAAGTGGGCCTGCACCCTTCCTGCCCCCGCCCTCCCTCTGTTCCTGGTCCTTCCTCCAGCTGCACAGACCTCTGGAGACCGCCCACTGACCCCTCTGCACTGGCCCTGCACCTCAGCACCCTCCTGGGGAAGCGCCCTTGAGCTGGGCTGGCACCAGTCTGGCCTGGATGGCAGAGTCTGGCCAAGCGTGGGCTTCTGACCAGCCTTAGGCTGTGAGCAGCCTGGGGCTGCCACCCGTCTGCCCAGCACCAGCACTGACCTGGCTGCAGCTGACGCTCAGGGGATGCGTGCTGTCTGCCTGGCCGAGGGCAGTGAGCACAGGAGTGAGCCGCGGAGGCAAGAGCTGAGCACCAGAAACAAGGCCTTGCCAAGCGAGAGCCCAAGTTGTGTGCTGGGTCAGAAAGGGTTTCCTGGAGGCCCAGGCACGCCAGGGGGAGAGGGACAGGGTGCGTGGGTAAGGAATGGGGTGGGGACAGCAGGCATGAGCTAGGCGGGGCCCCAAAGTGAAGTCGGGCATCTGGGCCAGCCTTGCCTTCGCAAAGCTGTGAGTTAGGAGCATCGCGCTGGGACGCCCTGCCTGGCAAGACGAGCTGGAGAAACAGGACCAGAGCAGCCTGCGACAGGGGCGGTTTGGGCAACCCCAGGCCTTCCCTCCCACCACTGGGCTGATGAGAACTGCCAAAAACTAACCACCACCACCATCCCCCAATCAATCAATCAATAAATAAAAGCCCTCGCCAGTTTGGCTCAGTGGATAGAGCGTCGGCCTACGTGCGTACTGAAGGGTCCCAGGTTCGATTCTGGCCAAGGGCAGTTTCGGGCTTGATCCCCAGTGGGAGGCGTACAGGAGACATTATTCTCATCACTGATGTTTCTATCTCTCTCTGCCTCTTCCTTCCTCTCGGAATCAATAAAGAAATGTATTAAAATAAAATAAAAACTAACCACCCGAGCCAGTGAGCAAGGCCACCCGGCAGGGAACACGGGGCGGCCTCAGGAACTCACTGCTGTGTAATTACAGACTTTTTGCCGTCCATGCCCAGCGGTGGCTGGTGGCCGCTCGGGCCCCAGTGAGGATGTTTTGAGGCTGCGGTGGCCTGGGAGCTCCAGGGTGGCTGCGGAGCCAGCTCAGCACAGCTCCCCGCGGTGACTCCACCCCGCTGTCCAGCACAGAAGGCACGGGCCAGTGGTCAGACCAGCCCAGCCTGGCAGGAATGCCCACCCTGGCTGTTCCTGGGGCCAACACCAGTGTGGTCCCTGGAAGATCATGAAGAGGATGAATGGCCAGAGAGGCCATGCCCCAGGCCCCGCTCTCAAGGGTGTGATGACGGCCATAGAAACAGAAAAGGGCAACAAAGCAGCCACAGTGATGATGACGGTGATGATGATGATGACGACGATGACAACAGCTCCCAGGACCAAATCCCCCCCATGTGCCAGGATGTGCCACATCCTTTCCAGCAGTCTGTTAGTGGTCAGAGCAACTTCGTGAGATACGTCATCACTCCATTCTACAGACAAGACCAAAGCTCAGAGGGTCCAGTGACTTGCCCGGGTGTGTGTGTGTGTGTGTGTGTGTGTGTGTGTGTGTGTGCACTGCTGGCTGGGAAGGCTGTGGTCCTGACGGCCCTGGTAGGCAGACAACCACCAGCTGCAGGCCCAAGAACACCACGAAGACGGCATCAGGACAGCCTCCCAGCCTCCAGCTCAGCTCCACTACCCTTACCCTCCTAGGGAGCAAGGCCTTAAAGAACCACGCCAGACCCCGGCCCCCAGGAAACGGAGGAATGAGGCTGGGGTGCCATCATACCCCGCCAGGCACAAGTGAGAAGCTGTCAGCGACAAGAGCCCCCTGTGCCTGCCTCACCAGGCGGCTCCCCAGTGCCCAGGGCTACAGTGACCCAGAGAGAGTGATGACGAAGACCCAGAGGAGGGGGTGCTGTGCACCTGCTGATTCTTCTCCTCAGCTACTCCACAAGTGCCGGTGACAGAACTGAGACCTGGAGCAGCTCCGAGACGTCCAAGAACCCAGGGCTGAACCCCAACTGCGAATTCCTCACAGCCTGGCCCCCCAGCCCTAGCAGAGGAAGGGCTCGGAGGTCTATGACCCACCCTCACTCTCAGAGAAAGGGGGCCTGGCAGGGAATGATGAGAGCTGTCGCGGGTGCAGCGCAGCCACAGGTGAGCATACAGTAAGCCGTCTGCTTCCTCACTGGCTCTCTTCAGGACACCTCACCTCTCTGAGCCTCGGTTTCCCCAGTCTGAAAAGCAGGAGTAAAGAAGCAAGCCCCACCTGCAGGGCTCTGTTGTGACTCGATGTGATGGCACACGCACTGTCTGGAATGACTGTGAGTAACTTCTTTCCCTTCCACCAGGGGTTGCTTCTGCTCAAGGTGCCATGGGGACTGGCCCTGGTGGGGGCTCTTCGGAAGCCGCTAAGGCACTAGTCTCACTTCCCAATCGCTCCCAATTCCATGCCACCCTAGGACCTGGCCGGCACCAGTGTCCCCAGCGCCTTCCTTGCCACTGTTCCCCAGACTACTCCGAACCTAACCGGGAGGCCACGCACGCACAGGCGGGCTCGGTACAGACAGACACACAGGCCCGAGTCAGCATTCTGGACGCCCAGACGGCATGCCCATCTATCTGCCTTAAAACCTGGGGAGGCTCTGGTTTCACCCCAAAGGTCCCTGGGAAGATGCTGCACAAGATAAAGGACAGGAACACAGAGGCAGCTGGGACCCCTGGTACTCTGGGGATGACACCTTAATGTCCTCCCTCCTGCCGCAGCTGATGCCAGTCAGAGTTGTAAGTGGCCAATGCCGTGGGGCCCACGCGGGACTTCCTGTGGCTGCAGTTCTTCTCGGAGGAGCAGCCAGTCTCCCGCGCAGCCTCACCCAACGTCACTGTGAGTAGAAGCTCCAAGGTCTGCAGAGACCCAGGCTGCCCAGGCTGCCCGGTCTCTTGGTCAGAGATTCCAATCTTGCTGTGTGGCCGAAGCACGGGAGCCGGCTCTTGGTGCGTGCCCAGGGGAACGAGGCGAGGCGGCCCCCTCTCAGACCACACGTGGCACATCGCCTAAGGCTCCCTGAAGGGAGGGGAGGCCTTCTCCCTCCAGCAGAAACAGGAAAGGCCACTGTAGGTGGTCAGGAGGGAAAGCTGTTAAACTTAGCCCCAGGGACCCGCTAGGGCACACCCTCAAAAACCCCTCCCTGCGGACTGGGGCGGAATGGGGTGCGGCAGCCTTCAGCAGGTGGTCTGGTTCACCCCCAGCGCCACCTGACAGGGCTCAGGGCCCGGGGGCGGCTCTGCAGCAGGAATGTCCGAGAGGGAGTGTCTGCAGGGGACAGAGCCTGTCCGCCACGGACAGCACTTCGTGAACGGTGCCCAGGGAAAAGCTGTGCCAGCAAAGGGCTCTAGGGCAGGCCTGGGTGAGGCCCCAAGGACCCACCAGCTCGGCCCTCTGCCACGGAGGAGGCCCTGCCCGCACTCCCCACAGGCACCTGGAGAAGGTGCGCTGCAGGCCCAGCCGCCCAACCCCGGTGGCTGGCGGCCCCCACCGGCATGCTCGCGGGTGCCCATGCACCCCAGGGCCCAGGCCGCACCCAGAGTCACGTCAGGGTGGGCGCACAGGCCCTCTGCACACCACCCGCCCGGCAGAGGCCCAGCACCCGCACCGCACCCCAGGCCGGCGCCCGCCCCGCCCCGCACAGCGCCCTGACTCACGGACAGGCCTCCGCGCCAGCCCAGCGCCAGGCTGCCGGCCGCGCCAGCAGCAAGCATGGCCGAGGGAGATGGGGGCGGGGGTCCGAGCCAAGGAGGCTTGGGCTGGGCGGGGCGCGGGGCGCGGGGCGCGGGGCGCGGGGAGGAGAGGGGAGAGAGGACGGAGCGGGGAGGGAGAGGAGCGGGGAGGCCGGACCGGGCCGGGCGGAGTGAATGGAGGCGGAAGACGGCGCGGGGATGGGCGCGGAGCGGGGCCGGGAGGAGCGGGGCCGCGGGGCACCGCCCGCCCAGCCCCCTCCCAAGCCGC